ACCGTGGGCAAAATTCTTTCAAGGGGATGAGAGAACTATGAAGAACAATGATGTCAAGAGGAGAGTCGGCACAGAATCAATACTGAACTTTATAGGTTGCAACAAATCAAATGGTTTGGCCATGTTACCAGATTGGTATTAGACAGGGCATCAAAGAGAGTAGTGTTACACAGATACAATAGTAACAGAGCCAGAGGTCGACCATGCAGGATATGGACCGCAGAAATATCAGAGACACTGAAAAGTACTTTATATAAAGCTACCAGAAGGGCCCGTCCAGGGATCTCTTCCTGCCCTGACGCCGCGAGGCATTCCAGCAGTAGAGAACAGAAGAAGGGAGAGCAACAAGCAGAAGAAATGTTTCAGTGATGTTTTTCCAACCATAAACTCAGTAACATACTTTGTCACATGTTGATTTAACATTTATATATAGATATGGTACATTATTAATCTTTTCATTAACAAACAACTTTATTACACAGTCATATACTCTTCTTTTTCTGTGGTTTCCGACCCCCAATGGAGCATAAGCCCACAGCCAACTCATACCAAGTCCTTCTATCCGTCACTGTCACATTCAGCTCTTCCCTTGTCCTCCCCATTTTTTTAACTTCACTCTTTAGCTCCCTTCTCTTTGGTCTTCTTTTATTTCTGTTCCCCTGTGGGTTCCAGTGCAAAGACATTTTAGTCATATTGTTCTCAGGTTTTTTCAGCATATGTCCTGTCCATCGCCAGCGTCTTTTCTTCACCTCATGGTCGACTGGTGCTTGCTTAATTCTCTCCCAAAGCTTCACATTAGTGATTCTATCTTCCTGTTTAATTCCCTCTATTTTTGTGCAGGCATCAGTTAATGAATGTTTGTAGTGTGTTTTAGTAATTGCCTTAGTTGTGTTTCATGGTTCCGCTCCATACAACAGCTCTGATTTGACATTAGAATTAAAAATTGTAAGTTTAGTGTTAATTTTGATTTCTGTTGACCTCCACAAATTCCCTGTTGCTGTGAAAGCTGCTCTTGCCTTTTGTATTTGTATTTTAATATCTCTGTCAGTTGTCAAGATTGTGTTTTTGTGCAGAATTTATTGGAGATAAACTGGAGGAGATGATGACCAAAATCAAGCAACAGCTGTCTGGAACTGCCCTGAAGTTCTACGAGAGAGAGTTTGATTTTTTCGAACAAATCACCAGAATTTCAGGACATATACGGTGAGATATGAAATGTTCAGTGTTGACAAATACATGTTGATGCTAGTTATGTGGTTATTTCTATCTCGGCACTGTGGGCACTTCAGCTCATTCAGTCATCTGAGGAGAAGCTGACCACTGGGCAGGAGAAGCTGACCACCGGGCAGGAGAAGCTGACAGCACTAGGCAGGAGAAGCTGACCACTAGGCAGGAGAAGCTGACAGCACCAGGTAGGAGAAGCTGACAGCACTAGGCATGAGAAGCTGACCACTAGGCAGGAGAAGCTGACCACTAGGCAGGAGAAGCTGACCACTAGGCAGGAAAAGCTGACCACTAGGCAGGAGAAGCTGACCACTAGGCAGGAGAAGCTGACAGCACTAGGCAGGAGAAGCGGACAACACCGGGCTGGAGAAGCTGACACCACCAGGCAGGAAAAGCTGACCACTAGGCAGGAGAAGCTGACACCACCAGGCAGGAGAAGCTGACAGCACTAGGCAGGAGAAGCTGACCATTGGGCAGGAGAAGCTGACACCACCAGGCAGGAGACCCAGGTTTGGTTCTTCAGCAAGCGGGTATTTCTGTGTTTATGAAAACAAATCCTAACCAGCTCTGGTTGGGATCACTGCAATAGCCATGAAGCATTAGATCCTCAGGCTGACGACACCCTTTAGCCTGCCCTCAGGCTGTTGACCCCTTTAGCCTGCCCTCAGGCTCTTGACCCCTTTAGCCTGCCCTCAGGTTGTAGACCCCTTTAGCCTGCCCTCAGGTTGTAGACCCCTTTAGCCTGCCCTCAGGTTGTAGACCCCTTTAGCCTGCCCTCAGGTTGTAGACCCCTTTAGCCTGCCCTCAGGCTCTTTACCCCTTTAGCCTGTCCTCAGGCTGTTGACCCCTTTAGCCTGCCCTCAGGCTGTTGACCCCTTTAGCCTGCCTTCATGCACCTGCCCTCAGGTGTAGACCCCTTTAGCCTGCCCTCAGGCTCTTGACCCCTTTAGCCTGTCCTCAGGCTGTTGACCCCTTTAGCCTGCCCTCAGGCTCTTGACCCTTTTAGCCTGTCCTCAGGCTGTAGACCCCTTTAGCCTGTCCTCAGGCTGTTGACCCCTTTAGCCTGCCCTCAGGCTCTTGACCCCTTTAGCCTGCCCTCATGCACCTGCCCTCAGGCTGTAGACCCCTTTAGCCTGTCCTCAGGCTCTTGACTCCTTTAGCCTGTCCTCAGGCTCTTGACCCCTTTAGCCTGCTCTCAGGCTGTTGACCCCTTTAGCCTGCCCTCAGGCTGTTGACCCCCCCACAGCCTGCCCTCAGGCTGTAGACCCCTTTAGCCTGCCCTAAGGCTCTTGACCCTTTTAGCCTGTCCTCAGGCTCTTGACCCTTTTAGCCTGTCCTCAGGCTCTTGACCCTTTTAGCCTGTCCTCAGGATCTTGACCTTTTTAGCCTGTCCTCAGGCTCCTGACCCTTTTATCCTGCCCTCAGGCTCTTGACCCCTTTAGCCTGCCCTCAGGCTGTTGAGCCCTTTAGCCTGCCCTCAGGTTGTTGACCCCCCACAGCCTGCCCTCAGGCTCTTGACCCCTTTAGCCTGCCCTCAGGCTCTTGACCCCTTTAGCCTGCCCTCAGGCTCTTGACCCCTTTAGCCTGCCCTCAGGCTCTTGACCCCTTTAGCCTGCCCTCAGGTTGTTGACCCCTTTAGCCTGCCCTCAGGTTATGGAGCCCTTCAGCCTGCCCTCAGGCTGTTGACCCCCTTCAGTTTGCCCTCATGCCTAACAGGTAGTGAGTACAGGCAGTCAATGTAGGCCTCTAAAACATTATGGCCGCCTGATATGAGAAGTCACAACAATAAAATACACATTTCACTTTTAGAAATAACAGCTTCATTAACACAAAGAGGTAGTTTTCTTGATCAGTGTGAAACCTAGTCTTGGGCTTGCCATCTCTTCAGCCACGATTTCCTGTTTAAAGAAATTAAATTTGGTTTGAAAATCCCCACAGCTTCTGCTCTGATCAAGTGTTATTTGGACATTTCAGACAGTTTGCTAAGGGCAGGGAACGTAAGCAAGCTTGCTTGCAGGCCTTGTCCAAAATTGAGCTGCAGGAAGGCTGTTACCTCCCTTCCAACCCTGAAGCTGTGGTCATTGAGATTGACTACAAGTCTGGGACACCCATGCAAAGGTTTGTGTTGGGCTCTGTTGGCGTGGCTTGTTCATGTATGGGCTGTATGTGATGTGGTTTGTTCATATATGGGCTGTATGTGATGTGGTTTGTTCATGTATGTGCTGTATGTGATGTGGTTTGTTCATGTATGGGCTGTATTTGATGTGGTTTGTTCATATATGGGCTGTATGTGATGTGACATGTTAATGTATGGACTTTATGTGGTGTGGCTTGTTCATGTGTGGGCTTTATGTGATGTGACTTGTTTATACGTCAGAGTACAGGAGTGCTATGTTAAATCTGTTCTGATGTATAATTGCATGGTTTTGGGTTTGATCCTAGCTGAAGGCGATCTGACAGCAGACCGCCTTGTGTTAGTTTCAACACTGGTATTGAGAGCCAGCCAAATCAGAAAGCAGTGGCAAACTACCAAACATAAAATTGCCTTATGGAATCACAAACCACCATCAAATGCTGGGGTCGTTGAAGATGTCCTTGGTGTGAACATTTGATGAGAATCACTTTGTGCAATAGACTTACTGCAGAGTGTGACTTTTTGTTTATTTGACACTTCTCTCCAGTGCGGCGAAGGCACCTTTTCTAGCAAGGTTTAAGGTGAGGCACTGTGGCATCAGTGGTCTGGAGCAGTTGGCAGCCTCTGACCTGGACAACAACCCCAGCAGCAACAACCAGCAGCAGTCTCCCAGCCAAGAGGACCAGGAGTCGGTGGACGAGCGGAAGGTCTACTGGCAGGCTTGCATTTTCAAGGTCGGCGATGATGTCAGACAGGTAATTACTAGAGCTGTAGTACAGCCGTCTACAGCAGTACTGGATGTAGCAGCCGTCTACAGCAGTACTGGATGTAGCAGCCATCTACATCAGTACTGGATGTAGCAGCCATCTACAGCAGTACTGGATGTAGCAGCCATCTACAGCAGTACTGGATGTAGCAGCCGTCTACAGCATTACTGAATGTAGCAGCCATCTACAGCAGTACCGGATGTAGCAGCCATCTACAGCATTACTGAATGTAGCAGCCATCTACAGCAGTACTGGATGTAGCAGCCGTCTACAGCAGTACTGAATGTAGCAGCCATCTACAGCAGTACTGAATGTAGCAGCCGTCTACAGCAGTACTGAATGTAGCAGCCATCTACAGCAGTACTGAATGTAGCAGCCATCTACAGCAGTACTGGATGTAGCAGCAATCTACAGCAGTACTGGATGTAGCAGCCATCTACAGCAGTACTGGATGTAGCAGCCATCTACAGCAGTACTGGATGTAGCAGCAATCTACAGCAGTACTGGATGTAGCAGCCGTCTACAGCAGTACTGGATGTAGCAGCCGTCTACAGCAGTACTGAATGTAGCAGCCGTCTACTGCAGTACTGAATGTAGCAGCCATCTACAGCAGTACTGGATGTAGCAGCTGTCTACAGCAGTACTGAATGTAGCAGCCGTCTACAGCAGTACTGGATGTAGCAGCCGTCTACAGCATTACTGAATTTAGCAGCCATCTACAGCATTACTGAATGTAGCAGCCATCTACAGCAGTACTGAATGTAGCAGCCATCTACAGCAGTACTGAATGTAGCAGCCATCTACAGCAGTACTAAATGTAGCAGCCATCTACAGCAGTACTGAATGTAGCAGCCATCTACAGCAGTACTGGATGTAGCAGCCGTCTACAGCAGTACTGAATGTAGCAGCCGTCTACAGCAGTACTGAATGTAGCAGCCATCTACAGCAGTACTGAATGTAGCAGCCATCTACAGCAGTACTGAATGTAGCAGCCATCTACAGCATTACTGAATGTAGTAGCCGTCTACAGCAGTACTGGATGTAGCAGCCGTCTACAGCAGTACTGGATGTAGCAGCCGTCTACAGCAGTACTGGATGTAGCAGCCGCCTACAGCAGTACTGGATGTAGCAGCCATCTACAGCAGTACTGGATGTAGCAGCCATCTACAGCGGTACTGGATGTAGCAGCCATCTACAGCGGTACTGGATGTAGCAGCCATCTACAGCGGTACTGGATGTAGCAGCCATCTACAGCAGTACTGAATGTAGCAGCCATCTACAGCAGTACTGGATGTAGCAGCCATCTACAGCAGTACTGGATGTAGCAGCCGTCTACAGCAGTACTGGATGTAGCAGCCATCTACAGCAGTACTGGATGTAGCAGCCATCTACAGCAGTACTGGATGTAGCAGCCATCTACAGCAGTACTGGATGTAGCAGCCATCTACAGCAGTACTGGATGTAGCAGCCGTCTACAGCAGTACTGGATGTAGCAGCCATCTACAGCAGTACTGGATGTAGCAGCCATCTACATCAGTACTGGATGTAGCAGCCATCTACAGCAGTACTGGATGTAGCAGCCATCTACAGCAGTACTGGATGTAGCAGCCATCTACAGCAGTACTGGATGTAGCAGCCATCTACAGCAGTACTGAATGTAGCAGCCATCTACAGCAGTACTGGATGTAGCAGCCATCTACAGCAGTACTGGATGTAGCAGCCGTCTACAGCAGTACTGGATGTAGCAGCCATCTACAGCAGTACTGGATGTAGCAGCCATCTACAGCAGTACTGGATGTAGCAGCCATCTACAGCAGTACTGGATGTAGCAGCCATCTACAGCAGTACTGGATGTAGCAGCCGTCTACAGCAGTACTGGATGTAGCAGCCATCTACAGCAGTACTGGATGTAGCAGCCATCTACATCAGTACTGGATGTAGCAGCCATCTACAGCAGTACTGGATGTAGCAGCCATCTACAGCAGTACTGGATGTAGCAGCCATCTACAGCGGTACTGGATGTAGCAAATTATTTCTCTGGTCTCTATCGTCAGATAGTTACTGCTTGTCTTCTGTGTGCATCTGCACATTCTCCCATTTATTTTGCGCCAACCTTTGATTATAGACATCTTGGTACAGTGCAGACCGCATCAGGAGAACTCACCAGGGACCTAAGAAATGGTTCTTTTTATCAGAAGTTTCTCTTATCCAGATAAAAGTTCAAGCAGATGGTAATTGTCGGGGATAAACAGATTGTTCTTCACAACAGACATTCACCACATATGAGATGGCCTCAAGTGTTCTGCACTGTCTGTTGCACGTCAGTCCCATATAAACTTCTTCTCTTCCACCTTGTACCTCATCCAAGTGTCGGGGGGCCCATATAAACTTCTTCTTCTTCTTCTCTTCCACCTTGTACCTCATCCAAGTGTCGGGGGGCCCATATAAACTTCTTCTTCTTCTTCTCTTCCACCTTGTACCTCATCGAAGTGTCGGGGGGCCCATATAAACTGGGTTCAGGAAATGCTCAGAAACATAAAGATGGCTGACAAAATGTTCAACCATATAACCAGTTCTATAACAATCTCAGCCTAAACCAGACTTTGTTAACTTTGTCTGGCATTGACCTCATTCGGTCGTGTGATCTTTATCATCGCTTTTGTCATTTTTTCTATGTTAACTTCTGCTTTTCATTGTCTTTGTTCGCTGTTTAAAGGGCGGGTAGCACACTGTTTTGTGACTTACAGCTAGGCTGTGATATTTGTGCCTTTCAGCCCAGCACATCTGATTTGAGCAAATTGTTAATTAGTCACCTGTTATGACATGCTTGCAAAGGGGCAGTGGCTTCCCCTCCTAACCAAAGTGGGTATCCTGCTTTTTGAAAGAGCACTACTGGAATTGACCAATGGAGCTAGAAAGTAGAACTGTTGACCATAGATCTGGCATGCCATGTGATATAGAAACCGTTGACCATAGATCCAGCATGCCATGTGATGTAGAAACTGTTGACCATAGATCCCGCACACCATGTGATGTAGAAACTGTTGACTATAGATCCAGCATGCCATGTGATGTAGAAACTGTTGACCATAGATCTGGCATGCCATGTGATGTAGAAACCGTTGACCATAGATCCCGCACACCATGTGATGTAGAAACTGTTGACCATAGATCCAGCATGCCATGTGATGTAGAAACTGTTGACCATAGATCCGGCACACCATGTGATATAGAAACTGTTGACCATAGATCCCGCACACCATGTGATGTAGAAACTGTTGACCATAGATCTGGCATGCCATGTGATGTAGAAACTGTTGACCATAGATCCGGCACACCATGTGATATAGAAACTGTTGACCATAGATCCCGCACACCATGTGATGTAGAAACTGTTGACCATAGATCCAGCATGCCATGTGATGTAGAAACTGTTGACCATAGATCCCGCACACCATGTGATATAGAAACTGTTGACCATAGATCCCGCACACCATGTGATGTAGAAACTGTTGACCATAGATCCAGCATGCCATGTGATGTAGAAACTGTTGACCATAGATCCGGCACACCATGTGATATAGAAACTGTTGACCATAGATCCAGCATGCCATGTGATGTAGAAACTGTTGACCATAGATCCGGCACACCATGTGATATAGAAACTGTTGACCATAGATCTGGCATGCCATGTGATATAGAAACTGTTGACCATAGATCCAGCATGCCATGTGATGTAGAAACTGTTGACCATAGATCCAGCATGCCATGTGATGTAGAAACTGTTGACCATAGATCCGGCACACCATGTGATGTAGAAACTGTTGACCATAGATCTGGCATGCCATGTGATGATGTAGAAACTGTTGACCATAGATCTGGCATGCCATGTGATATAGAAACCGTTGACCATAGATCCAGCATGCCATGTGATGTAGAAACTGTTGACCATAGATCCCGCACACCATGTGATGTAGAAACTGTTGACCATAGATCCAGCATGCCATGTGATGTAGAAACTGTTGACCATAGATCCAGCATGCCATGTGATGTAGAAACTGTTGACCATAGATCCGGCACACCATGTGATATAGAAACTGTTGACCATAGATCTGGCATGCCATGTGATATAGAAACTGTTGACCATAGATCCGGCATGCCATGTGATGTAGAAACTGTTGACCATAGATCCGGCACACCATGTGATATAGAAACTGTTGACCATAGATCTGGCATGCCATGTGATGTAGAAACTGTTGACCATAGATCTGGCATGCCATGTGATGTAGAAACTGTTGACCATAGATCTGGCATGCCATGTGATGATGTAGAAACTGTTGACCATAGATCCGGCACACCATGTGATATAGAAACTGTTGACCATAGATCCGGCACACCATGTGATGTAGAAACTGTTGACCATAGATCCGGCACACATGTGATGTAGAAACCGTTGACCATAGATCTGGCATGCCATGTGATATAGAAACTGTTGACCATAGATCTGGCATGCCATGTGATATAGAAACTGTTGACCATAGATCCGGCACACCATGTGATATAGAAACTGTTGACCATAGATCCGGCACACCATGTGATATAGAAACTGTTGACCATAGATCAGGCATGCCATGTGATATAGAAACTGTTGACCATAGATCCGGCACACCATGTGATATAGAAACCGTTGACCATAGATCCAGCACGCCATGTGATAAAGGAACCAGTCTATTAGTTCATTTGTTTGGTTTATACTTACAGGACATGCTGGCCTTGCAGGTAATTGAGATGTTCAAAAATATCTTCCAGCAAGCAGGGCTGAAGCTCTACCTGGCACCATACAGGGTTGTTGCTACAGCTCCTGGGGTAGGCATTGTCTGTGTGTAATGTCTGTCTGTGTGTGGTGTCCTTTGTTTATAGGGTGTCTGTGTGTGGTGTCCTTACTGTATAGGGTGTCTGTATGTGGTGTCCTTTCTGTATAGGGTGTCTTTGTGTGGTGTCTGTCTTTGTGTGGTGTCCTTTCTGTATAGGGTGTCTGTATGTGGTGTCCTTTCTGTATAGGGTGTCTGTGTGTGGTGTCCTTTCTGTATAGGGTGTCTTTGTGTGGTGTCTGTCTGTGTGTGGTGTCCTTTCTGTATAGGGTGTCTTTGTGTGGTGTCCTTTCTGTATAGGGTGTCTTTGTGTGGTGTCCTTTCTGTATAGGGTGTCTGTGTGTGGTGTCCTTTCTGTATAGGGTGTCTGTATGTGACGTCTGTCTTTGTGTTGTGTCTCTATGGTGTGTCTGTGTGTGGTGCCTCTATAGTGTGTCTGTGTGTGGTGCCTCTATGGTGTGTCTGTGTGTGGTGTCTCTATGGTGTGTCTGTGTGTGGTGTCTCTATGGTGTGTCTGTGTGTGGTGCCTCTATGGTGTGTCTGTGTGTGGTGCCTCTATGGTGTGTCTGTGTGTGGTGCCTCTATGGTGTGTCTGTGTGTGGTGCCTCTATGGTGTGTCTGTGTGTGGTGTCTCTATGGTGTGTCTGTGTGTGGTGCCTCTATGGTGTGTCTGTGTGTGGTGTCTCTATGGTGTGTCTGTGTGTGGTGTCTCTATGGTGTGTCTGTGTGTGGTGCCTGTCTGTGGTACTTGGATGTGGTGTCTGTGTGTGGTGCCTGTCTGTGGTACTTGGATGTGGTGTCTGTGTGTGGTGCCTGTCTGTGGTACTTGGATGTGGTGTCTGTGTGTGGTGCCTGTCTGTGGTACTTGGATGTGGTGTCTGTGTGTGGTGCCTGTCTGTGGTACTTGGATGTGGTGTCTGTGTGTGGTGCCTGTCTGTGGTACTTGGATGTGGTGTCTGTGTGTGGTGCCTGTCTGTGGTACTTGGATGTGGTGTCTGTGTGTGGTGCCTGTCTGTGGTACTTGGATGTGGTGTCTGTGTGTGGTGCCTGTCTGTGGTACTTGGATGTGATGTCTGTGTGTGGTGTCTGTCTGTGGTACTTGGATGTGGTGTCTGTGTGTGGTGTCTGTCTGTGTTTAATGCCTGTGTGTGGTGTCTGTCTGTGGTACTTGGATGTGGTGTCTGTGTGTGGTGTCTGTCTGTGGTACTTGGATGTGGTGTCTGTGTGTGGTGCCTGTCTGTGGTACTTGGATGTGGTGTCTGTGTGTGGTGCCTGTCTGTGGTACTTGGATGTGGTGTCTGTGTGTGGTGCCTGTCTGTGGTACTTGGATGTGGTGTCTGTGTGTGGTGCCTGTCTGTGGTACTTGGATGTGATGTCTGTGTGTGGTGTCTGTCTGTGGTACTTGGATGTGGTGTCTGTGTGTGGTGTCTGTCTGTGGTACTTGGATGTGGTGTCTGTCTGTGGTACTTGGATGTGGTGTCTGTCTGTGGTACTTGGATGTGGTGTCTGTCTGTGGTACTTGGATGTGGTGTCTGTCTGTGGTACTTGGATGTGGTGTCTGTATGTGTTTAATGCCTGTGTGTGATGTCTGTTTGTGATGTCTGTGTGTGGTGTCTGTTTGTTTATAGTATGTAAGCCAGCTGTAATTGTGTAAGGTAAAAAGTAACTGTCTCACTCCAGGCTGACTTTAGGCTTAGTGGTACAACAGAAGCATGGCTACTGCCTACATTCATGACCATGCTGCTGTTCTCAGTTCTCCATTCATCATGTTATTTATGATACATCAGTGTGCTACTGTTGTCAATTCTCCATTTATCATGTCATTTATGATACATCAGTGTGCTGCTGTTGTCAATTCTCCATTCATCATGTCATTTATGAAACATCAGTGTGCTACTGTTGTCAATTCTCCATTCATCATGTTATTTATGATACATCTGTGTGCTGCTGTTGTCAATTCTCCATTCATCATGTTATTTATGATACATTAGTGTGCTGCTGTTGTCAATTCTCCATTCATCATGTTATTTATGATACATCTGTGTGCTGCTGTTGTCAATTCTCTATTCATCATGTTATTTATGATACATCAATGTGCTGCTGTTGTCAATTCTCCATTCATCATGTTATTTATAATACATCTGTGTGCTGTTGTCAGTTCTCCATTTGTCATGTTATTTATGATACATTAGTGTGCTGCTGTTGTCAGTTCTCCATTCGTCATGTTATTTTTGATACATTAGTGTGCTGTTCTCAGTTCTCCATTCATCATGTTATTTATGATACATCAGTGTGCTGCTGTTGTCAGTTCTCCATTCATCATGTTATTTATGATACATTAGTGTGCTGTTGTCAGTTCTCCATTCGTCATGTTATTTATGATACATTAGTGTGCTGCTGTTGTCAGTTCTCCATTCATCATGTTATTTATGATACATCTGTGTGCTGTTGTCAGTTCTCCATTCATCATGTTATTTATGAAACATTAGTGTGCTGCTGTTGTCAGTTCTCCATTCATCATGTTATTTATGATACATTAGTGTGCTGTTGTCAGTTCTCCATTCGTCATGTTATTTATGATACATTAGTGTGCTGCTGTTGTCAGTTCTCCATTCATCATGTTATTTATGATACATTAGTGTGCTGTTGTCAGTTCTCCATTCATCATGTTATTTATGATACATTAGTGTTCTGTTGTTGTCAGTTCTCCATTTATCATGTTATTTATGATACATCTGTGTGCTGTTGTCAGTTCTCCATTCATCATGTTATTTATGATACATCTGTGTGCTACTGTTGTCAGTTCTCCATTCGTCATGTTATTTATGATACATTAGTGTTCTGTTGTTGTCAGTTCTCCATTTATCATGTTATTTATGATACATCTGTGTGCTGTTGTCAGTTCTCCATTCATCATGTTATTTATGATACATCTGTGTGCTACTGTTGTCAGTTCTCCATTCGTCATGTTATTTTTGATACATTAGTGTGCTGCTGTTGTCAGTTCTCCATTGCTCATGTTATTTATGATACATTAGTGTGCTGGTAATTTGTGGATAAACTGTCTTCCAGTGTGGGGTCATTGAGTGTGTCCCCAACAGTAAGTCACGTGACCAGATTGGCCGCCAGACAGACATCACGCTGTTTGAGTACTTCTTGGCAACGTTTGGTGATGAACAGTCCCCAGCATTTCAGGAGGTGAGTGTGCAGCTGTGGGATGTATAATTGTCTGACCTGTCTGTAGTTTTTGGTCTGTAAATGTTAACCCTCATTACACATGGGTACCCGTTTGAATGCATTAGTCTCCCTGTATAGAATATAGGAGGAGAATCTCAGCTCAGTACACAAATACTAGCACGGTTCAGGAAGCATCCACAAGTACTATAAACAGTCTCTCTTCTTCACATTTCTGGCTGTAAACTTTGTGGAAATTTCTGGTTGTTCCTCAACCTCTGGTCTTTAGTCTTGGTCCAGACCTTGAGTGTTGTGCACGAATCTGTTCTACAGATCTGGTTTGGTCCAGACCTTGAGTGTTGTGCACAAATCTGTTCTACAGATCTGGCTTGGTCCAGACCTTGAGTGTTGTGCATGAATCTGTTCTACAGATCTGGCTTGGTCCAGACCTTGAGTGTTGTGCATGAATCTGTTCTACAGATCTGGCTTGGTCCAGATGAGTGTTGTGCATGAATCTGTTCTACAGATCTGGCTTGGTCCAGACCTTGAGTGTTGTGCACGAATCTGTTCTACAGATCTGGCTTGGTCCATACCTTGAGTGTTGTGCATGAATCTGTTCTACAGATCTGGCTTACCTCTGTGGAGACTATTTGTTGCTTGCCTCTGAGACAGATAAACTCTGACTTCAAAGAAACCCCTAATTAGTTTACTCTTAGTACATGCTTGTCAGGGAGTCAGTGGGTCTATTCTGGGGTTTTTTCCCCCTACTATGGTAGGGAAATTAAAAAATTGGTTATATTATCTTGCTTGGTCTCTTGTCTTATTTAGAGTAAGTAATATAAAATACTGTTAGCTCGATATTTGCATTTGTTGTTTACATAAAGACAATATTCTCTTTCGAACAAAACAACAGGCACGTCATAACTTTGTCGTCTCCATGGCAGCCTACAGTATTGTCAGCTTTTTGCTCCAGATCAAAGATCGTCACAACGGCAACATTATGATCAACACAACAGGACATATCATCCACATTGGTACGTGCTTGTGTGTGTTTGTTTGTTGTTCTCCTATCCTGATCTGTAGGTGGCAATCACTTTGTTTTTATTGATCCTCAGCATCATTTACATATTTTTTAAAATTAAGGTGTTAACCTGTTCTAACTACAGTGAAAAGGTGGAAGATGCAGTGGTATGGACATGTAATTCGATCTAACGGCCTCTCAAAAACAACACCACAGGGCTTAGTAGACCATCAAACCTGGAGGGAGCTGATCAGGCAGTCAGAAGCAACTGGTGACCCGATGAGACGCAGTGTTATGGGATGATAGTGATGATGAATCCATATACCTTAATCTGTTACTTCTCATTTTGGTTGAAGCAATTTGTAATTTCAGTTTATCACTAGTGTAGTGCGTATATATTCATGTAACTGTTTTCTCAGGTTTTAGTTTCAGTTTGATATCATCATCAGGTGCCTTGTAGACTGACGTGGGCGATCATACCTCTCCACAATCTGTGATCTCCTGCAGCATGTATCAGTTCATGTGCTGACACGCATCCATGCCATGCAATAAGACTTCTCTTGTTGTCTTCCTCTATCCAGTTTTATATCTATATACAAATTACTTTCATCATATTTTTGTTGAAGCTCAGTTTTTGTATGCAGACTTTAGTTGTCATTTGCCTAATGGAACCACAGACTTTAGTTGTCATTTGCCTAATGAAACCACAGACTTTAGTTGTCATTTGCCTAATGAAACCACAGACTTTAGTTGTCATTTGTCTAATGAAACCACAGACTTTAGTAGTCATTTGTCTAATGAAACCACAGACTTTAGTTGTCATTTGTCTAATGAAACCACAGACTTTAGTTGTCATTTGCCTAATGAAACCACAGACTTTAGTTGTCATTTGTCTAATGAAACCACAGACTTTAGTTGTCATTTGTCTAATGAAACCACAGACTTTAGTTGTCATTTGTCTAATGAAACCACAGACTTTAGTTGTCATTTGTCTAATGAAACCACAGACTTTAGCAGTCATTTGTCTAATGAAACCACAGACTTTAGTTGTCATTTGTCTAATGAAACCACAGACTTTAGTTGTCATTTGTCTAATGAAACCACAGACTTTAGTTGTCATTTGTCTAATGAAACCACAGACTTTAGCAGTCATTTGTCTAATGAAACCACAGACTTCAGTTGTCATTTGTCTAATGAAACCACAGACTTTAGTTGTCATTTGTCTAATGAAACCACAGACTTTAGTTGTCATTTGTCTAATGAAACCACAGACTTTAGTTGTCATTTGTCTAATGAAACCACAGACTTTAGTTGTCATTTGTCTAATGAAACCACAGACTTTAGTTGTCATTTGCCTAATGAAACCACAGACTTTAGTTGTCATTTGTCTAATGAAACCACAGATTTTAGTTGTCATTTGTCTAATGAAACCACAGACTTTAGTTGTCATTTGTCTAATGAAACCACAGACTTTAGTTGTCATTTGCCTAATGAAACCACAGACTTTAGTTGTCATTTGTCTAATGAAACCACAGACTTTAGTTGTCATTTGTCTAATGAAACCACAGATTTTAGTTGTCATTTGCCTAATGAAACCACAGACTTTAGTTGTCATTTGTCTAATGAAACCACAGACTTTAGTTGTCATTTGTCTAATGAAACCACAGACTTTAGTTGTCATTTGCCTAATGAAACCACAGACTTTTTTTTCAAGTTTTGTTTCTCCTCTGAATCGGCAGACTTTGGTTTCATGTTCGAGAGTTCCCCTGGTGGGAACCTTGGCTGGGAACCTGACATCAAATTGACTGAAGAAATGTTCCGGGTAATGGGGGGTTCCATGGAGGCCCCGCTCTTCCAGTGGTACATGGAGTTGTGTGTGCAGGGCTACTTGGCTGTCAGGTGGGTCCTCTTTTTCTCCTCCTCCTCCTTCTTCTCCTCCTCTTCCTCCTCCTCCTTCTTCTTCTTCATAACCTTATCCTCCTCCTTCCTTTTCCTTTCCTCCTCCTCCTTCTCCTCCTCCTCCACTCCTCATCCTTTTCCTCCCTCCACTTGCTCCTCCCCCTCCTCTTTCTCGTCTTCCTCTCCTTCTTTTTGTTTTCCTTCTTTTTCTTCTTTTTCCACTCCTTGTTCTTGTTATTCGCCTCCTTTTTCTTCTCGTCCTCTTTTTTTTCTTACTCTGTATTTATTCTTAAGAGGGGGGTTTGCACATTAGGTTGTGTTTTACAGCTAGACATTATGTGATATCTTTACCTTTGGGCACAACATATTTCTTTCATGAGACATTTAATTAGTTGCATTTAACAACATTCTGTGTCTTTATGACAACTTGTTGTTGTGTTTTCTCAGACCCTTCCAAGACGCTGTCATCTCCCTGGTATCACTGATGCTAGACACACGGCTTCCTTGCTTCAGAGGTCAGACCATCAAGCTGCTCCGCGCCCGCTTCGCCCCGCAGGCCAGCGAGAGGGAGGCCGCCAATTTCATGCTGAAGGTGGTCCGAGACAGTTGCCTGAACTGGCGGGGCAAGACCTATGACATGCTGCAGTACTACCAGAATCAGATTCCTTACTAGTTTAGCATAGCCACCAGAGTTTGATAAGGGGACTGTTGAATGATTGGTTCATAGCCACCAGAGTTTGATAGGGGACTGTTGAATGATTGGTTCATGGCCACCAGAGTTTGATAGGGGACTGTTGAATGATTGGTTCATAGCCACCAGAGTTTGATAGGGGACTGTTGAATGATTGGTTCATAGCCACCAGGGTTTGAAAGGGGACTGTTGAATGATTGGTTCATAGCCACCAGAGTTTTATAGGGGACTGTTGAATGATTGGTTCATAGCCACCAGGGTTTGATAGGTGACTGTTGAATGATTGGTTCATAGCCACCAGAGTTTGATAGGGGACTGTTGAATGATTGGTTCATAGCCACCAGGGTTTGATAGGTGACTGTTGAATGATTAGTTCATGGCCACCAGGGTTTGATAGGGGACTGTTGAATGATTGGTTCATAGCCACCAGGGTTTGATAGGTGACTGTTGAATGATTAGTTCATAGCCACCAGGGTTTGATAGGGGAACTGTTGAATGATTGGTTCATGGCCACCAGGGTTTGATAGGGGACTGTTGAATGATTGGTTCATGGCCACCAGGGTTTGATAGGGGACTGTTGAATGATTGGTTCATGGCCACCAGGGTTTAATAGGGGACTGTTGAATGATTGGTTCATGGCCACCAGGGTTTGATAGGGGACTGTTGAATGATTGGTTCATAGCCACCAGGGATTGATAGGGGACTGTTGAATGATTGGTTCATAGCCACCAGGGTTTGATAGGGGACTGTTGAATGATTGGTTCATAGCCACCAGAGTTTAATAAGGGGACTGTTGAATGATTGGTTCATAGCCACCAGAGTTTGATAAGGGGACTGTTGAATGATTGGTTCATAGCCACCAGGGTTTGATAGGGGACTGTTGAATGATTGGTTCATAGCCACCAGGGTTTGATAGGGGACTGTTGAATGATTGGTTCATGGACATTTTCTTGGTTATTGATTTATGGACTTTTATGCTATGATCAATTCATTGACATTTATGCTGTGATTGATTCATGGACATTTGTTGAGTGATACAGTCAAGGACATTTGTTGAGTGATCCAGTCATGGACATTTGTTGAGTGATACAGTCATGGACATTTGTTGAGTGATCCAGTCATGGACATTTGTTGAGTGATACAGTCATGGACATTTGTTGAGTGATACAATCATGGACATTGTTTAGTGATACAGTCATGGAAATTTGTTGAGTGATACATTCGTAGAGATGTTTTGAGTGATTAATTCATGGACATGTGTTGAGTGATTGATTTATGGACATTTGTTAAGTGATTAATTCATGGATATTTGTTAAGTAATAGATTCATGGATTTTTGATTTTTTCATCAACATAAGCTGAGTGATGAATGGATATTTGTTGAGTGGTTGATTCATGGACATTTGTGCAACATAACAGCCGAACAGTTACTGCAAGCATGACCAGCATGGGAGAGAAGAGAAGCCTACCTGGACTTCCAGCAGCAGTTTTTGAGGACAAACTCCGGAGATATCAGACAAAGATCATGTTGACTGCTGCTTCTTTAAACATATTCAGATAGACTGATATCTGTAGATGTCCGAAGACAGCTAATGAATTTGCTCCTGTTTCATTTACATAAGCATCATCTAATAGAAATCAGTGTTTCAGTTGATGTATCTGTTGAGCCATAACGAACCAAAACAGTCGAATGTGTAGGAGAGCTGTATTGACAGTTCACACAAACAGCTCTTGTATAACCTATTCTACCTGTGCTTAGTTTCAGTCTGTGATCTCCCAGTGCAATATTTTGACTGTAAACTTGATCTGTTGGAGAAACTTCCTTCTTGTAGAAAGCTGTTTTCTGGTTTTTAACATTATTTCACAATGTGATATAACCCTGTTCAACATTTAACAGAATATAATTGTGTTGTTTGATTATCTGTTTTGTTAATTTTGCGTCTTGTTTTACTGTGTCCATAGAATATTTTTGAAGATTTTTATTGTCTGCATTTGTTTTCACTGTTTTACTCTGACTTATTTTTTGCCCGTCCTCAGGTTTGATCCAGTTTCCTAATTTCTCTAACACAATCTCTATACCTAACAAATTTTATTATTTGTGTCATGCCTTTTTCCATGTTGCCTTTTTGCAGTTTTATTCCTAGTTAAACATAGTTGACCCCCCCACCCCCACCCCCTCTCTTCCTGGTGTGTGTGTTTTTTTTCCTCCTGATGTTTGATAACTCCTTGTGAACTTGTTGATACTCTCTCTCCCATGTTTATTTATTGTATATATTGGTTTACTGGTTTTCACACAAATGCACACACCCCCCTTCCCTTTTTATTTTGTTGAATGACAAAGTGAACATGTTGATACTCTCCCATTTTGATTTGTTGTTAGTCCTAAGTTAAGGTGGTCAAGATTCAACATGTGACATAGAAAGTGGCTGTGTTGGGTTAGTCAAGATTCAACATGGCACATAGAAACTGGCTGTGTTTAGGTTTAGGTCAGTCAAGATTCAACATGGCACATAGAAACTGGCTGTGTTGGGTTAGTCAAGATTCAACATGGCACATAGAAACTGGCTGTGTTAGGTTAGTCAAGATTCAACATGGCACATAGAAAGTGGCTGTGTTAGGTTAGTCAAGATTCAACATGGCACATAGAAAGTGGCTGTGTTAGGTTAGTCAAGATTCAACATGGCACATAGAAAGTGGCTGTGTTAGGTTAGTCAAGATTCAACATGGCACATAGAAAGTGGTTGTGTTGGGTTAGTCAAGATTCAACATGGCACATAGAAACTGGCTGTGTTGGGTTAGTCAAGATTCAACATGGCACATAGAAACTGGTTGTGTTAGGTTAGTCAAGATTCAACATGGCACATAGAAAGTGGTTGTGTTGGGTTAGTCAAGATTCAACATGGCACATAGAAACTGGCTGTGTTGGGTTAGTCAAGATTCAACATGGCACATAGAAACTGGTTGTGTTAGGTCAGTCAAGTTTCAACATGGCACATAGAAACTGGCTGTGTTTAGGTTTAGGTCAGTCAAGATTCAACATGGCACATAGAAACTGGCTGCGTTAGGTCAGTCAAGATGCAACATGGCACATAAAAACTGGCTGTATTTAGGTTTAGGTCAGTCAAGATTCAACATGGCACATAGAAACTGGCTGTGTTTAGGTTTAAAGGTTTAAGTCAGTCAAGATTCAGCATGGCACATAGAAATTGGCTGTGTTCAGGTCAGTCAAGATTCAACATGGCACATAGAAACGCTGTGTTTATGTTTAAGTCAGTCAAGATTCAACATTTCACATACAGGCTGTTGGTGATTCCCCCAAGTGGCTCAGCCATCTCATAGTCAATAAAATGCTGTCCAAGCTGGAAACAGCTGTTTGCCTTTTGTTGTACATGTTTTTTGGCACTGAAATGGGATTTAGATGGATTGAGGAAACAAGAATGTTTAAGAGAAACCCTGAAGCCTACGTTGGTGAGAGAAGCCAAAGGTGCCCAGACCTTGTAGAATGTATTTTCTCTGTCTTGATCTATGCCTAAGAATGATTTTGTAACATCTCAACCTACGTATGTATATTTCAATGCATCCATACTTTCCTATATACTTTATACACACAAAAGCGCGAACAAACGCACACATGTACGAGCCCGCATGGCCGGTAAGCCCTGTTCCAACCACAAGGTTAAATTTGGGCTCCTGATAGAGCTTTGTAACCCGAAATCATGACCAGACAGGGATGCAAACAAGAGAGCAAGCAGGAGTGATGGCTGAAAAATGCATCCTTCACTAGAAGTTTCAGTAATCATTAGTTGCCATTTATTATAATTGCCATTCCATTGTTGAATAGTTTCTCCATATTTGTACAAGTTTGTATTGCGAGAGGTGTGGGTAGAAAATACATTCATTCCATAGATGCTGGTTGTTTCTTGTGTGGTCATGCTCATGTAGATATTTTAGAGATTGTGTGTGTCTGTGTTCAGGTTTAGTAAATGGCTGGACATAAGTATGTGTGGTTAAAACTGTGTGTGGTGGTGTAAATGTGAGGACACAGCTGTGTGTGGATGTATAAATGTGTGGATACAAGTATGTGTGGTTGTATAAATGTGTGGACACAAGTATGTGTGGATGTATAAATGTGTGGACACAAGTATGTGTGGATGTATAAATGTGTGGGCACAAATATGTGTGGTTGTATACATGTGTGGGCACAAGTATGTGTGTTTGTGTAAATGTGTGGACACAAATATGTGTTTGTGTAAATGTGTGGACACAAGTATGTGTGGTTGTGTAAATGTATGGACACAAGTATGTGTGGTTGTATAAATGTGTGGACACAGGTATGTGTGGTTGTATAAATGTGTGGACACAAGTATGTGTGGTTGTATAAATGTGTGGACACAAGTATGTGTGGTTGTATAAATGTGTGGACACAAGTATGTGTGGTTGTATAAATGTGTGGACACAAGTATGTGTGGTTGTATAAATGTGTGGACACAAGTATGTGTGGATGTATAAATGTGTGGACACAAGTATGTGTGGATATATAAATGTGTGGACACAAGTATGTGTGGATGTATAAATGTGTTGTATAAATGTGTGGACACAAGTATGTGTGCTTGCTAAAATGTGTGGACACAAGTATGTGTGTTGTATAAATGTGTGGACACAAGTATGTGTGGTTGTATAAATGTGTGGACACAAGTATGTGTGGTTGTATAAATGTGTGGACACAAGTATGTGTGGTTGTGTAAATGTGTGGACACAAGTATGTGTGGTTGTGTAAATGTGTGGACACAAGTATGTGTGGTTGTGTTAATGTGTGGACACAAGTATGTGTGGTTGTGTAAATGTGTGGACACAAGTATGTATGGTTGTATAAATGTGTGGACACAAGTATGTGTGATTGTGTTAATGTATGCTTGTGTAAATATGTTGTTGCATATGAAAAGGACCGTACAAAGCATTGAATAGAAGTCTACACCAGTCTCAATGAGAAACAATCAAAGTTGTGAAGAAACCGACTTTACAAATGATGAAGTGGGCATGGAGACGAGACAACAAAGTCACAGTACAGTCCCAACATCGTGTCCTTGGGGGATTTGTACACTGTAATAGTAAACAAGATAGATATGGAAGTCGGGCACTCGGTTTACTACACAACTCGGCACCATCACGTGACGTTATGGAGAACACCAGGGGCGGCGTCAGTCAGCCTTTTGTTTTGTAGGGGTAACAGAAGTCACTGTGGGTATATGGGTTCTTTATACAGATGTTTATGAAGAATTAAAGTATCTTTGTTTCTCTATTATGTAAGCTGTCATTGCTGCACCGATAGATGATTGAAGGAAAACGTTTGGATGTCAGAAGATGAGGACGCCACGGCATTAAGTGGGTGATGAGGTCAATATAACCTGCCGTCCCTACTTCTCTTGTCTGTGGCTTGGGCGTTGCGCACGCGTTTTGTAGTGTCAGTTTCAATCCCAGCTGCGGGCCTTGCGCCATACTTTGGTTTCCACCTTGGTATCGAGAAGCTGACCGTCCAGAGATCAATGACAAACTAATTGACGTAAATCTGCCTAGAAAAACAACAGCTAATGCTGGGGTTGGTTCTGCAACGTCCTGTAAAGGATTCGCAGCTAACCTGTTTACTTCTCTTATTTTCCTTCAGTTCTTAATACACTTGTTTCCACAGCGAGGTGCACATGGCATTTGGAGGTGACAGGTTATACTCCCGCACTGTAACTATAGCTGACATTTTTTATGTTGTCTTGTGTGTCTTTCTATCTTTCCATGAGTGTCGTTCCATACACTGTCTCTTTATAAATTTCCCAAACACCTGGTACTCATTTCAGGCCAAGTCACTGTTTAATATGCGATCTGATATGTCTGCTTCTAAATAAAGTTGCGCCAGCTAACAAGGACATCCGGATTAAGGGTCAGTCGAGGGCATTAAGTCAAAGCTGGCTGCGAAAACCTCGCCGTGATATTCCTCATTGCAGACATTGGGAATAGAGAGCGAAACGAATGTCCGCAACCGCAAGAGAGCGCAGATAAAGGGGAGAGGGACAACGACAACAAACAGCCAAGAGTTTTGTAACTAGCAGACATCGAGCACGTCCTGACATGATTGTCTTGAGAAGAGTGATGTCGATTCTTTGCAATCAGTCACAACAGCCAACCTTTTCTGGGTTAACAGAAGCGACACACTTTTGTAGGAGGGGTGCCTTTTCCAGGCAGGCTGAGGTTAGTGTGGATGACGACTCATTATCTCTCCCTCACGCGTCCTAATTGTTTTAGTATAGGCAGGGCTATTCAACTAAGTTTTCTTGGGAGCCAGAATTGGGGAAATGTAGATTGACATGGGCCCACAGGCACTACCCTCAGTAGAAGAAAGATCATGAATACAGCACAATTGGCAATGATCCGCGGACCACTTGCCAAGCCACTGCGGGCCACATTTGGCCCACGAGCCGCCAGTTAAATAGCCTTGGTATAAGAGGATTGATGTAAATGAGTCTTTTCTTCCACTTCCCTTCCTTTTATCCCCCAGGATTTTTCAGTGCGTCCGTGACGCTTCTCTGCAAAGGTGAGATTCACTATTCTGGGATTTAGGCAGAATGCACTATCCTGGGATTTAGGCGGAATACACTATCCTGGGATTTAGGCAGAATGCACTATCCTGGGATTTAGACGGAATACACTATCCTGGTTCTTATTTTGTTGAAACCTAAAAACAAAGAAAAAATATTCCAGCTGCCTGTTTGGACTCGTGGTAACAAAATGCCAGAGACCGTGTTGTGTGGAAGGGATACATCAGAATGAGAATGAAGGAAGAAACGATTGCACAAAGAATGAGACCTGAGCGTCTGAGAAGGAACAGACTTAACGCAAATTTTGAAACAACGGTCCTGAAATCCCATGCTATAATTGAGGGAGACTTTTCTTAGCGCATGCGAGTCTTGCTAGTCACACTCGCCATCGCCATGGACTGTAAGTCTCATCCATCACATAGCGCAAAATGGGGCCTAACACCATCGTCTCGAAAGACGGAAAGGTGCCGATTTCATTCAGTCAATCAGGCGTTTCAGAAATAAGGCTGGCACTGGACAGGGTATCACCGAGATAGCCTAATAGTGCAACTGAAAGGTCTTTTCAAAAGAGACCACATCGCAAAAGAAATAGAACTAGATCTTTAAACACACACAAACACACACACACACACACACACAGAGAGAGAGAGAGAGAGAGAGAGAGAGAGAGAGAGAGAGAGAGAGAGATGTTAGTTGCATATCCTTTACAGGACGTTATAACCAACCCCAACAGCCCCTGGCTGTTGTGTGGGTTTTCTAGGCAAATTTACGTCCATTAGTTTGTCATTGCTTCCTGGACGGTCGGCTTTCTTGAAACTACGTCGAAACCAACGCAGGGCGCCTGACCCGCAGCTGGGATCGAACCCGGCATCCCGGCATTACGAAGCGTTCGCATTGACTTAGCCACAGAGCCGACGAGAAAAAGAGAGATACAGAGAGAAAGAGAGCGAGAGAGAGAGAGAGAGAGAAAAAGAGAGAGAGAGAGAGAGAGAGAGAGAGAGAGAGAGAGAGAGAGAGAGAGAGAGAGAGAGAGAGAGAGAGAGAGAGTTAGCACCAGTAATAAATTACTTTTTGTTTGGTCTTGTGAGAAAAGAGAAATTTTAACATGTGGCATCCGGAAAGATCAGTGGGAAAAGAGACAGAGGAAACCAACGTGTGAAGATTCTTGACAGTCTTTAGCCGTGACAAGGAGGGGTGTCAGCACATGAACTGATACATGCTTTTGAAGATGGTAGATTGTAGAGAGGCATGTTCGCCCACGCCAGTTGCTAGGGAGCTTGACGATGAATAAATCACATGGGAATACATGGACGGAGCTGCAGGAGATGGGTAAAAGTGAGCTTGGACCTACTTGGGTGAGGGCCTATGCTCCACCGGAGGCCAACAGAGAGCAAGAAAACACGATCAGCTGTTGAGGTCAAGGTCAGACTGGGACTCGTCGACCTCGACCCGGGCGGGCCATGAACTTCATCATTTAATAAAATAATTTATTTACCATTCCATCTATAGAAAAATACATTTATTTAAATATTATGTCTTAAATAATTTTGTTATGTAGTATTATGTAACAATAACTGTCTATGTACACAGTTTGACAAGAAAAGAACATATCACATTTCATGTTAGGGAGACACAACTGAGGGGTTAAAGTTCAGCTAATTTGCCTATCTGAAAGTTCAAGAGGTTAAAGTTGAAAGTTGATACTAGCCAGCTCGGGGTTGTACCGGCCTCAGTCCCAAGTCCGTCTGTCTCACCGAGTTTCTCGTCGCCTTCAGTTCAAACCAGAAAACATGGCCAGTGAGTATTGTGGTTGCTTCTTCCTGTTGTTAACTTCCCAATAAAAGTAGATATTTGCATCGCAAGACGACAAGGGACATATTTTATTGTGTGTGCTGTATGAACACCGGATTACGTGGTGACAACACGAAAGTTGCATGGCAGCAAAGGCAGTGGGAGACAGTAGACAGGATGTCAATACAGGATGCCATGGCGTTGATTCATATGTATAGAATAATATGTTGGTAGTGGACGAAGAAGAAGAAGAAAAAGAAACAGAGGAAGGGACAAAAGAAGAAGCAGAAGAAATTAAACCATTGTCAGTTTTCCCTCCAGGTGTTCTACCACTTGTGTAGTTCTAAATTCGAGACGTATTCGTGACTTTTTTCTAGAACAAAATCTACATCACAGTGTCTTAAGGAGGTGCCGCAGTCAAAAAAGTTTCTTTTGCAGTAGCGCTATAAAAGTTATACTGGTGCCGGTACTGCTAACCGTCAGAAAGCAAAGCTCTGGGTGGATCATCTATTAGTCTTCTCAGTAAATTATATTTTCTATTTGTAAATATTCATCTACAAATGTCATGTTTTAATTGTAAAATGATAAGAAGCCACTTGTAGGCTATGATCCAGATCTTATGATGCAGTGGATGAGCAAGACAATGTCACAAGAGCGTTGAAACAAGAAAATAGAATATTAGGAAAACAATTCAACAGCCACAGACCTTCATATCAGGCCAATATATTACACTTGTTGATGACAAAGCCTTGAATTTGTCAGTTTATGTAACAGTTGTCTTCCACTCACAGAAACAAACCAACGTTTTGCTGAGTACCTCTCACCAGAGAAGGAGAACGAGCTGCAACAGATTGCTCTTGCCATCGTAAAACCTGGCAAAGGGATCCTTGCAGCAGACGAATCTGTTGGTGAGTTGTGGTTGTCAGTTTGATTAAATCATCCAGTGGTAAAAGTCAGTTAAACAAGAAAAAAGTAAAGGACCCGCTTCCACGCCTTCGGATGTTTTGGACTAAACCTATATTTTATACATCAATTGGCACACAGTGGGTGATGTGATCAGCCTCATGCCGGGCACCTTTACCTCCCAGGACTCTACCTGGTTCCCATTTAATGCTGGGTCAAGGTCATTTTCGAAAAAAGTCTAGCAGGTCCGGATTTCTTCTTCTTTACAATCAATTCCAAATGCTCAGGTCAGACCATCAGATGGGTTGCCTTCTAGAACTTGCAGGTCAGACCATCAGATGGGTTGCCTTCTAGAACTTGCAGGTCAGACCATCAGATGGGTTGCCTTCTAGAACTTGCAGGTCAGACCATCAGATGGGTTGCCTTCTAGAACTTGCATGTCAGACCATCAGATGGGTTGCCTCCTAGAACTTGCAGGTCAGACCATCAGATGGGTTGCCTTCTAGAACTTGCATGTCAGACCATCAGATGGGTTGCCTTCTAGAACTTACATGTCAGACCATCAGATGGGTTGCCTTCTAGAACTTGCAGGTCAGACCATCAGATGGGTTGCCTTCTAGAACTTGCAGGTCAGACCATCAGATGGGTTGCCTTCTAGAACTTGCAGGTCAGACCATCAGATGGGTTGCCTTCTAGAACTTGCAGGTCAGACCATCAGATGGGTTGCCTTCTAGAACTTGCATGTCAGACCATCAGATGGGTTGCCTTCTAGAACTTACATGTCAGACCATCAGATGGGTTGCCTTCTAGAACTTGCAGGTCAGACCATCAGATGGGTTGCCTTCTAGAACTTGCATGTTTACAGCAGGTCCTTCCTTCATGGTTCTCCATAGCTTGTTTTGCCCTTGCGGCCAGGTGTCTTTTCAAAGTTACAGGTAGAGGGGGCAGGTCTGCAGAATGTGCTCAGGTGTTTGTTGTCCTGTTTGACAGGTACACTTTAGGGACTGTACAGTCTTTATTTTATGCATGTGGTAGTTGAGCCTGCAATTTCTTGTTCATAGACAGAAAATTGTTTTATGTTGTTTTCTGTGGAAGCCGCTGATGGGGTCTTGTGGATATTTACTGTTGGTTTGTTCTCTCCTCAGTTCCTTTTATTTTTTCTTGATTAATGTTTTGATTTTTGGCAAGTCTGTTTGCTAACTCATTTCCTGGTATGCCATAGTGAGCCAGGATCCATTTAGGAACGATTTGATTGTTTTCTGTGAGTCTGTTTAGCTGGCGGGTCAGTTCTCTCTGTCCATAATTTTTGAACCCATGACCTTCTGATCCGCAGTTGAGCATCTAGCCACTACACCATGATGCCTGCTGGTGGTAATCGATTTTTTTTATAGAATTTATCTAGTGGCTGAAGATTTGAAATAAACATCCAGTAGCTGTAGATTTGAAATAAACATCCAGTAGCTGTAGATTTGATATAAACATCCAGTAACTGTAGATATTCCATAACTAACTAATGTCTGGAGACACACAGAATCACCTCTATCTGTATATATTGTAATATTGTATCATCATCATGATGTACCATGCCAACCAGCTTATGTAGTCATGGGATCACAAAAGATACATTCACCAGACTCTCTAATGATGTCTGTGTTCATGTCCTAATCATTGCATGCTGTCAGGCCATCTAGGTATTCATCTGTTTATCTTTGCCTTTCCTTTTTAACCATCATCTCTGCCAATTGTCTCTCAGTTTTTGAGTTGTTCTGATCTCCATGAACTGCCCAGACATCATAAGTGTCAAAACCCACCCCTATATGCCACACGTAGATTCATTTTTACTGTGCTTTTCTGTTTTCTCAAATAAAATAAAAAAGGTGCTGGTACTCATCTGCTGGCTGAATGGTTAAGAATGCTGGACTGTTGTGTGGGAAACCCACATTCGAATCCTTGGTAAGGTTGTGGAGATTTTTCTGTTGGCGAGTGGGGGGAGAGGGGGGGGGGGGGGTTTAGTCTTAAACTGCACAGTCCATAGTGATGGCACTAGCTCTAAATCCTCGTGCTCAAAGACCCCACTGCCTACAGGGCAACAGTGGTTAAAAACAGACAGTAATGACAGTTTATTGACACCACAAAGTGTCTGTTACATTAGTGGGGGGGGGGGGGGGGGGAGTATAAACACATTTGTAGTACAGCGAAACATTGTCTACCATCATAAAAGAAGCTCTGCATTTTTCTAATTTTATATAACCCTTTCTGTTTTCAGGTACTCTGGGAAAGCGTTTTGCATCGATTGGTTTAGAAAACACAGAGGAGAACCGACGCAAGTACCGAGAGTTACTGTTCACGGCTGATGATTCATTGGCTGAGAATATTAGTGGTGTGATTCTCTTTGACGAGACCTTTAGACACAGCACAGCAGACGGCAGGCCATTTGTCAAGGTCAGTGAATCTCATTTGATGAAGTTAGCTCTCTCTTTGCTGAATTTAGACTATTAGTTGCTGAATTTAGACCATTAGTTGGATTTAACTTTTTCAATTGCAGACAATACTTACTCTGATTTTATCTTGTCTAGACATTTGTCATGTATTTGTTGTCTGACCTACTTATTTCTTTAACCCTTTAGTTCCCCTTCTTTGGTCCAAGGCTGTTATTTTAATTCCTTCTGTTCATGAGATTTAATTAAAGTAAAGTACCTTTTCCCACACCTTCAGGTGTGTTGGGTATGTAGGGCTAGACGTAGATTGTATAGACCAGTAGGCACTCAGTGGGTGATGTGGCCAGAGGCTGGGTCAAACTGGGATCCAAACTCATTTTAATGGAGACAAAAATTACATCTTTCTTCTATCCCAGTCGGTTGAGACTTGAAAAAGGTTTTGTGTTTTCTACTGAATAACAGGGGGGAGCACGTGTGAGAATGTCTTCAGTGCCTTGACATTAGGTCTTGCTTGATAATTCATTCATTCATTCTTTGTATACGAGCTCAGTCAATCCAAATAAAAAAATACGGTTGCAAGTCCATGGAATGGTTGTAAATGCATAGTTGGCTATTATACTAACCTGTGTAGTCATCTAGAAGAATATCAGGCCCTCTGAAGTTGAACATTTTCTATTGGTCTGTACTGAAGTCACCAGGCCATCATGTGCATTCAGCATGGGCCCTGCAGCACTGACCTACTTTCCACTGTTAGATAAGATAAAGCAGATATGATCAACAACAAGGACTATGCTGCTTGGCATATCATTTCTGATAATGAACCATAATCTGCCTTTGCTGTGGTGAAGATGGTAGAAATTTATCTAAATATTGCACATGAGGATTGTCAAGAATGCACAATTAAAAAGAGACCAGAGTTCACGGTATCATATGCAACATCATCATCCTCTCGCAGGTTTTTGCCAGAATGTTCCTCCCACTACAGCCCCTCCTCCTTCTGCCTGTGTGAAAACTCTCAGCCAGTTCTCCTGGCCCTGTATCCTAACAACCAGGCTGTCTCCTTTGTTCACTTCTGTGCTGCTGCTCTTCCACCTCTTATTCCATGAATCTTGCCTTCAGTTAGTTTGCATTTAAACTTTAACAGCAGTTAGATTTCATTTTAAAATGTTGCAGCAATTAGTTTTTCATTTTTAAATTTTATGAGCAATTACTTTTCATTTAAACTTAAACCACAATTAGTTTTCATTGACAGTGTAACAGTAGTCGCTATGGCTAAAGTAGTTACGTTTTCTAAAACCTAAAGCTCTTAATGAGTCAGTTTTCTGATGTTTTAGATCTTCTAGAATGTCAGTATTTTTATTTTTCATAATTCAATTTTTTTTAACACATTTTTTTTCGTAACATTTTTCAGTTCAAAATTTCAAATGTCTTCATCAGTGTTTGCAAGATTGTGCAAAATTGTCTCAAAGGCCTGGCTTAACATTTGTTTGCCAATATTGTGGCATAAACACTTACTGGATTGTAATTTGTACCCTCTGTTTGAATGAACTGTCTCCTTCTGACTTCAATCTAACAGTCTTCCTTGTGGCCAGTTACAAGGCACATATATGCACAGATGGTTATAGTCAAATCTAACAGTCTTCCTTGTGGCCTGTTACAAGGCACATGTATGCACAGATGGTTATAGTCAAATCTGACAGTCAGACCCAGGACTTGGAGCATGCAAGATATGAAGATGGCCATGAACTATGCAGCAGAGATTTCTAGACCATAGTAGAGCAATCTTCAGCTGAAGTGACCTGTATTGTGTTTTTTGCTTGTAGACTGCCTACATTATTAAAACTTATGACAATACATAAGTAGTGTACAGATCAAGTGATAGCTGTTGCTAGTGGTTATTAGTCAGACACTGTTTTGTGTGGTATCAGTCAGACACGGTTTTGTGTGGTATCAGTCAGACACTGTTTTGTGTGGTATCAGTCAGACATTGTTTTGTGTGGTATCAGTCAGACACTGTTTTGTGTGGTATCATTTAGACACTTTTTTATGTGGTATCAGTAAGACACTGTTTTGTGTGGTATCAGTCAGACACGGTTTTGTGTGGTATCAGTCAGACACTGTTTTGTGTGGTATCAGTCAGACATTGTTTTGTGTGGTATCAGTCAGACACTGTTTTGTGTGGTATCATTTAGACACTTTTTTATGTGGTATCAGTAAGACACTGTTTTGTGTGGTATCAGTCAGACATTGTTTTGTGTGGTATCAGTCAGACACTGTTTTGTGTGGTATCAGTCAGACATTGTTTTGTGTGGTATCAGTCAGACACTGTTTTGTGTGGTATCAGTCAGACATTGTTTTGTGTGGTATCAGTCAGACATTGTTTTGTGTGCTATCAGTCAGACACTGTTTTGTGTGGTATCAGTCAGACAATGTTTTGTTTTGTATCAGTCAGACACTGTTTTGTGTGGTATCAGTCAGACACTGTTTTGTGTGGTATCAGTCAGACACTGTTTTGTGTGGTATCAGTCAGACACGGTTTTGTGTGGTATCAGTCAGACACTGTTTTGTGTGGTATCAGTCAGACACTGTTTTGTGTGGTATCAGTCAGACACGGTTTTGTGTGGTATCAGTCAGACATTGTTTTGTGTGGTATCAGTCAGACACTGTTTTGTATGGTATCAGTCAGACACGGTTTTGTGTGGTATCAGTCAGACATTGTTTTGTGTGGTATCAGTCAGACACTGTTTTGTGTGGTATCAGTCAGACACTTTTTTGTGTGGTATCAGTCAGACACTGTTTTGTGTGGTATCAGTCAGACACTGTTTTGTGTGGTATCAGTCAGACATTGTTTTGTGTGGTATCAGTCAGACACTGTTTAGTGTGGTATCAGTTAGACATTGTTTAGTGTGGTATCAGTCAGACACTGTTCTGTGTGGTATCAGTCAGACACTGTTTTGTGTGGTATCAGTCAGACACTGTTTTGTGTTTTATCAGTCAGACACTGTTTTGTGTGAGATTAGTCAGACACTGTTTTGTGTGGTATCAGTCAGACAATGTTTTGTGTGGTATCAGTCAGACACTGTTTTGTGTGGTATCAGTCAGACAATGTTTTGTGTGGTATCAGTCAGACACTGTTTTGTGGGGTATCAGTCAGACACTGTTTTGTGTGGTATCAGTCAGACACTGTTTTGTGTGGTATCAGTCAGACACTGTTTTGTGGGATATCAGTCAGACACTGTTTTGTGGGGTATCAGTCAGACACTGTTTTGTGTGGTATCAATCAGACACTGTTTTGTGTGGTATCAGTCAGACACTGTTTTGTGTGGTATCAGTCAGACACTGTTTAGTGTGGTATCAGTCAGACACTGTTTAGTGTGGTATCAGTCAGACACTGTTTTGTGTGGTATCAGTCAGACACTGTTTTGTGTGGTATCAGTCATACACTGTTTTGTGTGGTATCAGTCAGACACTGTTTTATGTGGTATCAGTCAGACACTGTTTTGTGTGGTATCAGTCAGACACTGTTTTGTGTGGTATCAGTCAGACACTGTTTTGTGTGGTATCAGTCAGACACTGTTTTGCATGGTATCAGTCAGACATTGTTTTGTGTGGTATCAGTCAGACACTGTTTTATGTGGTATCAGTCAGACATTGTTTTGTGTGGTGTCAGTCATACACTGTTTTGTATGGTATCAGTCAGACACTGTTTTGTGTGGTATCAGTCAGACACTGTTTTGTGTGGTATCAGTCAGACACTGTTTAGTGTGGTATCAGTCAGGCACTGTTTTGTGTGGTATCAGTCAGACATTGTTTTGTGGGGTATCAGTCGAACACTGTTTTGTGGGGTATCAGTCAGACACTGTTTTGTGTGGTATCAGTCAGACATTGTTTTGTGTGGTATCAGTCTGACACTGTTTTGTGGGGTATCAGTAGGTATAGGACCCGGTTCCAAGGCTTTAAAAAAATTGAAGCTCAGATTTTGTAAAGGTCAACTAATTAGGAGTCTGCTGAAATTAAATGTGTTGAACAAGGTGCAAATATCACAGCCTAGCTTTAAACAACACATTATGCCAATCACATTTTTAGTAAATGTAGAAGAAGATGGAGAAGAAAAAAAAGAAGAAGGAGGAGGAAAAGAAGAAGAAGAAGTAGAAAAAGAAATAAAGAAAAAAAAAAGAAGAAGAAAAAGAAGACAAAGAAATAAAAACTGAACTTATCCTACTAGCAAAAAAATACGAGGAGACTTATTTGGCAGGCACATTTTTGTATTCAGACATTTTCTGCCTATTATCTGTGAAAATGAGGCAGAATAAGACATCAACTGGTAAAGTTCAAGTCTAAGCATAGATTGTACACAACTCTGATGTCATGACATATGACATCATAATGACATAGCATAATGACATATCATAATGACATAGCATAATGACTTATGTTTCACAAGAAGAAGAGTGTGTGTGTGTGGGGATATTTGGTGTGGGGGTGGGGGAAGTAGTGTATTAAACAAAGCAAGACAGCTGAGGCTTAAAAACAATTTTGTCTGATCATCATGTACCATGATAGTAAGCATGGTCTGTCATGTTTTGCCATCTTACACGATCACCAGAATTTTAGATGAGGTTAGTGTTCTTGTCTCGCCTCATCCATCTAGCAAGGTCATCCAGGTATTTATTTCTTTGCCTTCCTCTGCCTTCGTGCAGAGTGGCATGCCTCGCTATGGAAGATACAGGTGAGGAGTATTGTCTGGATTGTTTCACCAGGGTATGCCGGTGTGTTGGGAAATGTATGTAACAACACAGGGGCTCTATGTTTATTGTCCCTTCTCACCTGTATGTAACAACACAGGGGCTCTATGTTTATTGTCCCTTCTCACCTGTATGTAACAACACAGGGGCTCTATGTTTATTGTCCCTTCTCACCTGTATGTAACAACACAGGAGCTCTATGTTTATTGTCCCTTCTCACCTGTATGTAACAACACAGGGGCTCTATGTTTATTGTCCC